CTTGATTACCAAGAATAAGCAGTGGAGAGAGAAAGCAGAAGAACAGTGAGGCCTTAAAATATACCCACAATTACACTGCCAAAGAAATAAGGAAAAATATGCAAATTGTACTGGATGTTATCTTTGCAGACTCTGCCAACTTAGTCATGATCTATATAGGTCAACATTCAACCAGTTCGGCAAACTGAGCTCTCCACATTATAATTTACTTACTCTTAAGACCTGAAAATTGTAACTGTAATTGTAACTAACTTAAAATCCATTAATGTTAATGTCACTTTATTACCAATAGCTTGTCTTATGTTGTATCCTTAAGGGATGGTATCCTTAAATTCTGCTAGAATTTCCCACCACAGAAACAAAGGAGGTCAGTTCCTAAATCCTGGAAATGCACTGAAACATTGGATGAAATAATAGGTTGATAGCACACTTTCAGCATCAATGGCTAGGCAGGGCTCCTTGTGGAAAAACAGTTGTAAATTATCTATTTCCAAAAGGACCTCAACTATTCCACATCACTTTTGCCCAAATGCTACATAAATAAACTGTACTTTGTAACAGCATACTTCACACATTCATTCAAAGAATGGCTAAAATACAAGAATATGCCTTGTCAAGAATCAACTATATTCTGTTCCCTTGCTTAAGTCCATAATACTGAAGGAAGAAGACGCCTGAGATAAAAAGAAAGCCATATTGGTTGTGGGCCTGTTCATATATTCAGTTGCTTATGTGGAGAAATCGACCTAGGTAGAAAATAGGACTTACACATTAGCCTTACCCATTCTTTCACCAGCTAGAAGTTTGAAGGAGAACATATTTGTATTTGGTTGAATGCAAGTACAGTTCCTTGTGTGTTCCAGGGCCCTACTTCATTGTGGTCCTGAACTATGCAAACAGGTCTATTTACATTCAGGCCATCAGCAGCAAATGTCTTTTTTTACCTCTAGCATAACACATGCAAGTCAGAGAAAGTCATTTTAAGCAGACCTCAGCCTGGAAAAAGTCAGATGCCTTGCTTTTATGCATTCAAAGACACAAACTCCAAAAGCCCAGAAGAAAGCAACATATACCATTATCACCATGTGACAACCTCCTGATATTATTCATTCATACAAGAGCTCCAAAAATAGAGCTCCTAAGGTAATCTCTTAATCCATTTCTGATTAGTGAGGTGTTCAGATAAAACTGAGTGAATCACACTGCCAACTTCTTAGCTTCTCAGCTAAGAGAAGTAGTCTATGCTAAGATCCCAGCCAGTTTGATGGCACAGTCTTATTTTATGTCTCCGGTCAGGAAGCAAAGATTCCACAGTATTGTAATAAATCCCATTAGGGCAGGTAAACTTTGCATGTAACAGGCAGAGCTTTTAATATGTTTACTAATTATCAGATGTTTATCACAAAATAAGTGTTTTATATCTAGAAGTAGGGAAGATACAAAAACAGGGAAAATCATTACCTGCATGATTCTGATCTTTGTAGGTATAGACACATTTTTTCACTGTGCTCCTTGACTTTTATTACTACAGCTTGCAGATCCTTACATTTCCAGCTATCATAGTGTCATCAGCATAGTGTGGATTATTGGTGTTTCTTCTTCCACTTTTAAATCCACACTCATCTTCTTCCAATCCAGCTTCCCTCAATATATGTTCCGTATATAGGTTGAATAAATAAAGGGGAGAGTATACAGCCTTGTTTTACTCCTTGGCTTCCTGACCTGACCTGATCTGACCTGACTTGTGTATAGGTATTGCATGAGGACAGTGAGATATTCTGGGATTTCCATTTTTCTAAGCACATTCCACAGCTTTACATGATTGAGACAATTAAAGGCTTTTCTATAATTCATGAAGAAGCCCACACTGATTTCTTTTTGGTATTCTTTGGCTTTATCAATTATCCAGCATGCATCAACAATAACATCTCATGTTTCTCAGCCTTTTTAAAAGCCAGCTTTCCATGTAGGGCCTTGTAGGATATTGTACAATACACACACTGTTAAGTCTCCTTTCTTTGGTATTGGTATGCAGACTGATCTCTTCCAATCTGTTGGCAACTGTGTCATCCTCCAGATTTGCTGGCACAGTTTGCTTAGAACCTTTATTGATTCTTCTTCTGTTGCTTGCCATATTTCTATAGATAGTCCATCAATTCCTGTAGCCTTATAACATAGTAATCATCAGAGTGCTGATCTAACTTCATCTTCAGTACCAAAGGTCATTGGTCTCAAAAGGTCTGCTTTCATGAAAAATCTTTGTGCTACCAGCACTAATGAAGCTTTATCTTGCAGTTGACTTAGATAAATATAAGTGGTTTAGGAGGAATGGTTATCAGGCTACCTAGCATTGTAAGCTTCACCTCTCCATGTTGGCCTTACTGTGCATCTAAAGTTGTAAAATGGAATTTTGAAAGCATATCAGTTTCTCTCTACCATATCTTATACCAAACAAAATCAAGCTAGGGTTATTCTGAATTTCTTGCTCAGCCCTTCCTTTTTCCCCAGACCAAATAAACTTTTCTCCTTTAACTATTCATTGTTCCTTTCTCCCTTCTGAGGGCCAGGTCCCCATTCTTTCACTATTTATTAGATTTTACCTTGATGATAGTATATTGATACTGATATTTTCTTTTTATGGTTTTATCTTAGCAGCCTGGTATTTTCCTGCCACAGAATAAAAAGAAGAATGTTTTATTTAAGCTCTGAGTTTCGGCTGCTAGGGTGAGGGAAGGTTGCATGATGGCATGGTAAAATTGACTGTCCCAAGGGATACCTTTGGCTACAGCTGACTTGATTGAGTTACACTGGATCTTAGGGCTCTTAGCAGCACAGATAACAGATATGAAACTATTTCTTTCTTGCCTTTCCTGTAGTTATTAATGAAATCCATTCATGCATTCATGTTATTAATAAAATCCATTCATGCATTGTATTCAATTTTCTTTAGCCTTAAGGCTTTTATCTTATAAGTTATGTAAATAATTATTATTATGGTTTGGTTG